GGAGGTAATTCTTCACACTAGGCCAAACACTTCGTTGAACCACTCTACAAAAATTTCCCTCGTGACCCATGCCTTACTATTAGATTTCCAAAACACACACAATTTACTCTTCATAACATTGTTTTTCCTGAACACTCTGGGATTTTCAGAATGGTACACTAGTAACGGCTTCACTTTGAAATCCCCACTAGCATTAGCACAGAACATTAGCGTCAGCCTGTCTTTCATAGGCTTGTGTCCTGGCATTGCCTTTTCCTCTTGTGTAATGAAGGTCCTCTTTGGCATTTTCTTCCAAATGAAGCCTGTTTCATTACAATTGAACACTTGTTCAGGTTTCAGTCCTTCACTGTTTATGTACTCCTCGAATTCATGCACATATTTTTCAGCCGCCTTGTGGTCCGAACTGGCAGCCTCACCATGCCTTACCACACTGTGTATGCCAGTACGGTTCTTAAATCTCTCAAACCAGCCTTTGCTAGCCTTAAATTCACTCACATCATCACTAGTTGCAGGCAATTTCTTTACCAAATCGTCATGCAACTGCTTAGCCTTTTCACAAATAAGCGACGTCATAAGACTGTCTCCTGCTAATTGTTTCTCATTTATCCACACCAATAATAACTTCTCAACAAGTGTGGAGTTAATAAAAGTATTAGTCAGAGGGCAGAAGAGGGGTTGTTGAGGTGGTTTGGTCATTTAGAGAGAATGGATCAAAGTAGAACGACATGGAAAGCATATAAATCTATAGGGGAAGGAAGGCGGGGTAGGGGTTGTCCTCGAAAGGGTTGGAGAGAGGGGGTAAAGGAGGTTTTGTGGGCGAGGGGCTTGGACTTCCAGCAAGTGTGCGTGAGCGTGTTAGATAGGAGTGAATGGAGACGAATGGTACTTGGGACCTGACGATCTGTTGGAGTGTGAGCAGGGTAATATTTAGTGAAGGGATTCAGGGAAAGCGGTTATTTTTATATAGTCAGACTTGAGTCCTGGAAATGGGAAGTACAATGCCTGCACTTTAAAGGAGGGGTTTGGGATATTGGCAGTTTGGAGGGATATGTTGTGTATCTTTATATGTACATGTATATGCTTCTAAACTGTTGTATTCTGAGCACCTCTGCAAAAACAATGATAATGTGTGAGTGTGGTGAAAGTGTTGAATGATGATGAAAGTATTTTCTTTTTGGGGATTTTCTTTCTTTTTTGGGTCACCCTGCCTTGGTGGGAGACGGTCAACTTGTTGGAAAAAAAAATAATAATAATAGTACAGTAATTTATTTTCCAATAATATAAGTTATATTATGAAGGTTGATTTTCATTAGTTATGTAAACTATTTTGGGCAGACTTAAACTAGGAGTACAGGAGTACAGTAGTTCCCCTGTATACACCTGAATACATTCCAAGACCTACCGTGGATACATGAAACAGTGGATAGTAGCGAACTATTTTTGTCATTTTTCGTTTATATATATACTTATGATTAAGTTTAATTGATAAATTATGCAAAATAAGTTTAGAATTAGCACTTTTTCACTGATGGGAAGCATTTCACGGTTTCTCTTAGGCTTTGAAGAACTGCCAGCATCACTGATTTTGCACTTTGGGGCCATTGTTAAGGAAAATTAAGGTTATTTTGGACCACAGTAATCAGTGGATAACTGAAGCCATGGATACAGAATCTGTGGATATGGGGATTCTACTGTAATACTATTTTTTGGGGGGTTATCCACCTCCTGCCAAGGTGGATGACTCAGAAAAAGAGGAAACACATTCACCATTATTCACTCGATTTCTGTCTTGCCAGAAGCCTGTTGACATTATAGTTTACATGCCTAGTGAACTGCAAAATCCTCACCTCTCTTGTAGAATGCAGACAGGAGGAAAGGGTGGTGTGAGGATGTTCCATTATCTACAAGAAAATTACGCAAGTTTTATCTTCACCTATTTCAATACAGTAGTTTTCCACAGATCACTTGAACACACATTTCTAGACTATCTCAGGTGGCAATCCAACTTGTGTACAATTATGAATTGCTATTTGATCTACCAATACTACTGAAAATATTTGAGAAATTTAGTTACAAGCAGCTGTACTTGTCTAACCAAAATAATGTGCTTACTCATTCCAATTTGGATTCAGATGAATGAAAAAGAAAGAAACACTTGTGATGCAATCATAAAAATGCTTAACGCAGTTTATGCGGTACTTGAAAGAAATCAATATCCTACTGAACTTTTAATTGATCTGCGTAGATCTTTTGATAACGTTGACCGTGATATTCTTCATAAACTTAATCACTACAGACTCAGAAGGCACGCATATAGCAATTTAAATTCTGCTTAAGAACAGCAGCACATTATCATAAATGACACTTTCTCAGTTACCCAATCAATTAACTGTTAGCCTGCTATTGTAACTCTAATAGACTGTATGTTCTTGCTAAGAAATAAAATAATCTTATAGTATACCACTTTTATCTTATCTTGCTAATAGTATATGTAATGCTTTTATCTCATCTTGCCTGGAAGTATAATGCTTTTATCTTACCTGATAGTACACTATGCTGCTTTTATCCTATCTAACCTGATATTTGCTGCTTTCTCTAGAATTTTGGACATAATATATACTAATAGGTTATTGACATCTGATCTACTATTTTTACTTGAGCTTAACCAGCATGGTATTAAAAGTGATGAATGATTTTAATGTGCGAGCTTCTGGTACTTTCAGTTTGGAGGCACTAACTTTTAGGAATTTGGTTGGAATGTTGTAAAGTTCAACTTAGTTCATTTTGTAAAATTTAAAAGTTGTACCTGATAACTGGAAATTGTTTGGGGTGAGGCCTTTCATTTTATTGTAGTTGATTTTCTCACAGTTTGTTGACTAATGATGATGCAACAATTGTGTAGTATGAATAGAAGCAATTACCACTTCAGATGCCTTGTGGCATGCATCATTATAAGTACAGTAGGGCTCCACTTATACGGCAGGTTAGGTTCCAGGCTACTGCTGTAAAGCGGAAATCAATGTAAAGTGGAACACACTTTTTTTCCACTTATAAATGCATATAAATGCTAGTTAACAAGTTTACACTAACATATATTAAGTTAAATATAGAACTAGGCATTAAAAAATAAAGTAAAATACACATATAATACACTCATTACTTTTTTTTTTTTTTTTTTTTTCAACAAGTCGGTCGTCTCCCACCGAGGCAGAGTGACCCATAAAAAGAAAGAAAATCCCCCAAAAGAAAATACTTTCATCATTCAACACTTTCACCACACTCACACATTATCACTGCTTTTGCAGAGGTGCTCAGAATACAACAGTTTAGAAGCATATACGTATAAAGATACACAACATATCCCTCCAAACTGCCAATATCCCAAACCACTCCTTTAAAGTGCAGGCATTGTACTTCCCATTTCCAGGACTCAAGTCAGACTATAGGAAAATAACCAGTTTCCCTGAATCCCTTCACTAAATATTACCCTGCTCACACTCCAACAGATCGTCAGGTCCCAAGTATCATTCGTCTCCATTCACTCATATCTAACACGCTCATGCACGCTTGCTGGAAGTCCAAGCCCCTCGCCCACAAAACCTCCTTTACCCCCTCTTTCCAACCCTTTCGAGGACGACCCCTACCCCTCTTTCCTTCCCCTATATATTTATATGCTTTCCATGTCACTCTACTTTGATCCATTCTCTCTAAATGACCAAACCACCTCAACAACCCCTCTTCTGCCCCCTGACTAATGCTTTTATTAACTCCACACCTTCTCCTAATTTCCACACTCCGAATTTTCTGCATAATATTTACACCACACATTGCCCTTAGACAGGACATCTCCACTGCCTCCAACCGTCTCCTCGCTGCTGCATTTACCACCCAAGCTTCACATCCATAAAAGAGTGTTGGTACTACTATACTTTCATGCATTCCCTTCTTTGCCTCCATAGATAATGTTTTTTGACTCCACATATACCTCAACGCACCACTCACCTTTTTTCCCTCATCAATTCTATGATTAACCTCATCCTTCATAAATCCATCCACCGACACTTCAACTCCCAAGTATCTGAAAACATTCACTTCTTCCATACTCCTCCTCCCCCCCAATTTGATATCCAATTTTTCTTTATCTAAATCATTTGATACCCTCATCACCTTACTCTTTTCTATGTTCACTTTCAACTTTCTACCTTTACACACATTCTCAAACTCATCCACTAACCTTTGCAGTTTTTCTTTAGAATCTCCCATAAGCCAGTATCATCAGCAAAAAGTAACTGTGTCAATTCCATTTTGAATTTGATTCCGATAATTTAATCCCACCCCTCTCCCGAACACCCTAGTATTTACTTCTTTTACAACCCCATCTATAAATATATTAAACAACCATGGTGACATTACACATTCCTGTCTAGACCTACTTTTACCGGGAAGTATTCTTCCTCTCTTCTACATACCCTAACCTGAGCCTCACTATCCTCATAAAAGCTCTTTAAAAGCATTTAGTAACTTACCACCTATTCCATATACTTGCAACATCTGCCACATTGCTCCTCTATCCACTCTATCATATGCCTTTTCTAAATCCATAAATGCAATAAAAACTTCCCTACCTTTATCTAAATACTGTTCACATATATGCTTCAATGTAAACACTTGATCTACACATCCCCTACCGACTCTGAAGCCTCCTTGCTCATCCGCAATTCTACATTCTGTCTTACCTCTAATTCTTTCAATTATAACCCTACCGTATACTTTTCCTGGTATACTCGGTAAACTTTTTCCTCTATAATTTTTACAATCTCTTTTGTCCCCTTTCCCTTTATATAAAGGGACTATACATGCTCTCTGCCAATCCCTAGGTACCTTCCCCTCTTTCATACATTTATTAAACAAAAGTACCAACGACTCCAACACTATATCCCCCCCTGCTTTTAACATTTCTGTCATGATCCCATCAGTTCCAGTTGCTTTACCCCCTTTCACTCTACATAATTACTCATTACTTACCTTAAAATATTTGTGGTCTTAATGTAGGGTGAGATGAGCAGTATTTATTGTAAGAAATCAGGTGTGGTTGGTATGGTAGCCAGCCATGCCACTACCACCGCACCCACAAGTAATATACTATGACATTTAAAGCATCCCAGAGCAATAAAATGCACATGTAGTTCACTCATTACTTACCTTAAAATATTTGTAGACTTAATGTAGGGCGAGATGAGTAGTATTGTAAAAAATCAGGTGGTTTTGGTATGGCAGCCAACCAAGCCACCCCCACCCCACCAGTGGTAGGGGAGGGGTGGTGAGACTCAGAGTTATGTAAACAGATGAATGCTTGGTTCATACATGTCTGTATTATACCATAATACAAACACTTTACATTGTGTACAAGTTGTCTCCACATTGGTACAGTAGAATTATTAAAGAGCAACACTCCCATTTTCATGTAACACCGTTTTAAGAAGAAATGACACTGAGTGAAGGCATACGAAATGAGTAATTTTCTACAGTTACCCCAGTAATATTATTGTGTACACATTTTCTTTGGTATTGAACTAAATTTATGTTAATTTAATCTATTGTGGGGTGTATTTATCACGTTTATATGTTATAGCGTGTTTATTACGTATATACGGTGGAACCCCGATTTTCAGCCACCCTGCGTATCAGCCGCTTCGAGTTTCAGCCTGTGCCCATGTTTCGGCCGGAGTACCAGACCTGTCTGCCTGCCCATGTAGGTGTTGTGAGCCAATCTAGCTTTGTTTATCATTGAGTGAACATTACCCTGCATGCTCATCCAAACATTTCACAATAAATTCATTGTGTTTAGTGCTTATTTATTGATTGTGACTGAAATAAGCCACCATCGGCCCAAAGAAACTTCATAGTGGCAGCATTTTGGTAAAGAAAGTGAGAAACACGATAGAATTGAAGAAAGAATTGTAGCAAAGTATCAAAGTGGAGGAGGAAGAGAGGGGGGAGAATGTGCCGCCTTCAGTGATTCAGTGATTCTACAATATGTACAATACTAAAGCAGCATGAGTCGATAAAGGCTATTGCGCCAGCCAGCAATAAAGTGTAGCATTAACAGAGAAGTTAATTTTAAGTATAGACAAACCCCCGGGAATCCAACTAAAGGCTATCTTAGATTATAAAACGACAGCAACGAAATTTTGGACTCACTACCAATTTTGGGTGGGGAAAAGTTAAATGTAGGGTGGACTGACACACAACCGCCCCGTCCTTGCTGCAGCCTTTTCACCACCACTTTTTGTTTTTGCCTTATTTTCTCAGTGGAACAATTCTTCTCCGTAAGCCACAAACAATAATCGAAAACTAGCAACACTCGTCAGTTATGTAAAGTAAAGAGAAATTTCTTCCTTTTGGAGCTTATACTGTTCAATGTTTCTATGTTATTAATATTGTTTACTATGTCAAATTAGATGAATTGTGCTAGATAAATAAGCTGTAGAGTTTTTATTATTGTCATAATGAAGGACTATCTTGTCCTGCTTCCAAAAAGCTCCTACCTCTCATATGCCAACAAGAATCTTCAGTAAAGATTTAAATGTTTATTTATCCATTAAAATTAGTGCTTTATATTTATTTCTCATTGTTTTCTGTATGTAAAACTATAGTATTTATTCTTTAAAAAAATGATTTTTTTGTGAATATTTTTGGGTGAAACGGATTAATTGGATTTACATTATTTCTTATGGGAAATGTTGCTTTGACTTTAGGCCATTTTGGCTTTAGGCCTAGCTCCTGGAACAGATTACAGCCGAAACTCAGGGTTCCACTGTAATTTTGAAAAAACATCATAGATGGATTAATGAAAATGTGTATACAGTAGGGCCACTTATTCGGCAGGCTAGATTCCAGGCTACTGCCGGAAAGCAGACTTCACCGGAAAGCAGAACTCCATTTTTTCCATTTATAAATGCATATAAATGCCAGATAACAAGTTTACACTAACATATATTAAGTTAGCAATAGAACTAGGCATTAAAAAGTAAAATACACACAAAGTACACTCATTATTTACCTCAAAATATTTGTAGTCTTAATGTAGGGCAAAAGGTGAGTAGCATTTAAGTGTGGTAGCATTCAAGTGTGGTAGCATTTAAGTGTGAGTAGCATTCAAGTGTGGTAGCCCTCCTGGCCACCCCACCCACACATACTATACTACGATGCTTAAAGCTCCCTAGAGCGATAAAATGCATATACACTACACGCATTACTTGCCTTAAAATACAGTAGACCCCCGCTTAACGATCACCTCCAAATGCGACCAATTATGTAAGTGTATTTATGTAAG